CATGGCTAGCGTCAAGTTGCCATCCTTGAGCCAAGTCTGCTGGCAGCTTGGAGAGGATCTGTTAGCATCTGTGTAGTGGTCCGGTTCAGTTACAGGAGTTTAAACTGGTGAAGTGCATTTGAAGAACAATGAAGCAAATCCATTAGTATTACATATTTTTGTTTAACGGTCAATACCACTCTTGTTCGTCCATCTACCCAGTATTTCTATGCAGAGTGTCTCAGCACAGCTGCCTGGCTGCCTCACTGTGATAACAACACCCCAGGAAGTCTCTGCATCCGGCTCTCTGTAGCCAAGAAATATTTACAGCATGTAACAGACCCTTAAGCCACAAATTGCTCCTATTTATGTAGGATTAAAACAAACAAGATACAACCTGGTTATTAGTGAGCTTTGGAGGTGTTTGTATGTGTACTTTGGACAGAGCCAGGCTAGCTGTTTCCCATGGCCTCCAGTCTTTATGCTAAGCTAAACTAATTGCCTCCAGGCTACAGCTCAGTCCTTAAAGCAGACGTGAGTATTGATCTGACCTAAATCTTGGAGAGAAAGCAAGAAATCAGTTTATTTCCCAAAATGATGGACTGTTTCTTTAAAAGCAGCATCATGTTGGCCTACCTCATTCATAGTGTTCTCTTAAAGCTCTCAGCGCCCAGTTTCCAAGAAACGAAACAACAAGATATGTAGAAAAAAAATCTAAGTTCTTGTGTTTACTTTAAAATTGACTCCAGCAGTGTGTGAAGCAAATCTCTGTAGTTTTAAAGACGTGTGTTCCTATGGTTTCCTAAAAGTTGTCAAGATGTGGGAATCTTTGAATTGCATTAGATATTTTTTTCATTTTAGTTCGACAAAAACACATTTTATACATTCCACACGGGACTTTTGTTCACCAAACAAAGGTTTTGGGGGAAACAAAGTAAGCACAGAAATATGATTGAACACAAACCAATAAATGTGACCGTCAACACATTGTTGAGGAGATGAATGGCCTGCTGGTGATGTTCAGTTATCAGTTATGTTACGGTGCAGACGGGGGTCGGGAAGGATGGTTTTTGTGGCAGTCTAACTCTGATGAAGGAAAGCTAACATACCAAGCATTTAACATGGAGGGTGGGTGTTTTTTACTTTCTGTTCATTCTACAAAGACAGACCGGTTTTTGTCTGTCTCAGAATATTTAACCGATAGCATGTAGCCTAATGTTTATGTACTCTGCATTTTGTATCTACTATAGTGGTGTATGGTTATGGATGGTCTGATTGTCTTTTGTTTGTGATGTTTTAACACTATTTTATATATTTTTTTTACAACTTTTTTGCATTTATGAATGTATTTGGTTTTGGTTTCCCCCTCTGTTGTGCACTTATGTTAAGCCAGTTTTTCCTCTAAAAAGGGATCATTAATTTATCATTTGTGTTGATTTGAAGCTTTGAAAGAGAAGTACCCTTTAATCTGTTGATCTGTCTTTAACAAAATGTGTAAAAAAAATATTGTGTCAAAAATATTTCCTGTATCTGATTCTGTTTAAAGTGCTTTACCCTTCACGGCCCTCAATCAGATGCCTTTTGGAAGAACAGCCTGTGTTGTTTAAGTTAAAAATAGGAAACCTCTTAGTACATGGGAAGCATTTCAAAAAGCATGATTTTATATAATTCAACGTGCAGTTGTAGAGAACATGCAATTTATTCTCACAGTCATTTTACTCGTAGTGATAGGACACACCAACAGTGTTAGAAACATATCATATTTGTTCTGTTTTTTATTATTGTGCAGCCTAAACCGTCAGCGGTAGAAGAGTCAAACTTTCATGGTAGCTCAGTAGCTCAGTTGACTGACTAATGCACATTAAACCAACAGTTTAATCCGTATTCAGCCATTCTCTTGGCTTCAACCAAGTCAGTAAGCCTCTGAATATGGATTGCTTAAGGTGCTTGGACCCACATATGCATGCCTGTCTTGTTTTTATTTACTGTTGCGTTACTTTAGTCTCTGTCTTTGGTACTAAGAGAGGGTCTGACATGCAACAAAGGTTGTTGGCTGGAATCGAATCGGTCGTGATCATGTGACCAAGCGACACGCTCTGTAACCATACAGCTACCAAGACAGTCCTCTTTTAATGAAGCAATATCTACTTACAACCCATTGTCAGTGGTTGTATGTGTCTAATGGGTTACAACCAACTCAACCAGTTCCTCATAGAGGTACTAGTACTGTATCCTGTAGTTCGCAAGAAACAAAGGGTTTGAAAACGTCTCGAAAGATTTATCTGATTTTGTGTTGCAAGTTCTCATTTTGTTTGTTTGTTTTCCTTGTTGATTGTTGTCTTCAGGACCTGGCTTGAAGTTGTCTTGCTGTTGAAATACTTCCCATGTCCACTTATGCTTGTGACCAAATCTCTATCACCGTGCATGCACTTTGAACTGTTAGATGGCACAAAGGAAAGCATTGCTCAGCATTAAGAGACTTTACCACTGTTTTATAAAGCAGCCCCGGTTTTTATCCCCCACATACCTTCTTCTTTATCATTGAAAATATTTACTTTACTTACAGTAGCAGCTCTTCGTCTTAATGCTGGAGCACAAATCTGTAATGCAGATTTAAGTGAAAATAGTCTGTTTTTTTCTGTTTGTTTTGTATTTTAGTGCCAACATAGAAGCTGTCACCTACTATAGGCAATAGAACCAAAACAGCTACATTATTTAATCTAATATAATTGACAATAAAGAGGACTAATGAGAGGCATCCTAAGGTTTTATAAGCCAGAAACCCTGCAGACGCTGTATGTCAGGGTCCATCCTGTGGGCCGTGTACTCGATGTGATGCTGGAAGTGGAAGTAGTGTCATTAACCGTACAGTAAAAGAGCTCTAGAATGAAAATAATTAAAAAACTGTTCTCCTGTCTTGTGCCATCACCATCCATACAGAAAATATACAGTATATATATAACCTAGGCCAGATTTGAATAAAGGTTCAGTCTTGTATCATTTGTAAACACATAAAGAAAGAACTTAGAGTTTTGTGAGACATCATTTCTATAAGTGAAAATAGTTATGATCTCTCAGCCAACCCTGCATTACAAATCTGTAAAGTCAATATGTTATTACTTGTTTTGTTTTTTTTTAGAAGTTATGTGCTGCTATTTCCTAGTACCAGCAGTGTTATAACCACAGATAATTAAAAGTTTAATTCATGGTCATTTTTGGGCTCTGTGTCTTTAGTAACAATGACGTATAAACTGTAACAAAGACAAGCACAACATCTGGTCCCTAATACAAATATCTGCTTCGTATAGTATTGTCCATCCACAGGTTCATCCGAAGCTCACTCCTCTTGCTTGACCTGTGCACCTCATATAATGACACCTACAGTATAAGGTGTTTGAATGCCCTTTGCTTGCTGCTTCTGGCCTGTTGGAGACCCCTGCTAAAACCTGTGCAGGCCCCAGCATGCAGAAAGAAGACAAAAGAGCATCAAAAGTCACCTGGAAGGGGACATCATCTTCTCAACTGCACCCTGAATGAGCATGAAAATCCATTCTTCCCCAAGTGCCTCTATGCCTTCAGGCAACAAAGGTCACCTAAGCTGGAGAAGGTGCTAGTGAACCATACAAATCCTTCTCATTTCAGGCTTTACCTGGCGACCCAACACCTGTCCGACCCCACAATCCCTTCCCTAATCAGCTACTTTCTACCAATATGGACTGTAAGTCACAATCTCCACTGTACTGTTGTGACCCTTACTCAAAATAATGTATATATATATATACATATATACATTACTCCAATGCTGTTACCTTGCGTATTTCACAAAGTGAGCAGTGTGATTAATTGTCACAAAACAAACGCTCCACAGATGTATAATTTGATATGTATGTATATATACATGTATACATGAATGCTAATATGATTGCATAAACCTTACCATTTTCTGAAAAAAAAGGGAACTGATCAACACAAATAGATAGATACTTTATTAATCCCCTATTGGAGAAATTATTCTTTTCACTCTTTTTTATTATATACACACACAGGCTGAAATGCACACTCATGCACATGCAAACATGGAGAGAGAGATGGTGGAGTGATGGTCTGCCACGTTAGCAGCA